TTCTTGTGCGAGTTAATTTGATTAGGAATTGATGAATTCTTGCTTGATGATTTGATATAATCTAAGAGTGACACTTAGGTTCATTTGTTGATACAATCGAAGAGTGACACTTCGATTTTGCGTTTGAATATTGATTTATTGAGTTAGGGTTTATTGATCCTACATGATTAGTTGATTAATCACCTTCTAATTGAATTAGCGACTTTTAAAACCGAAAGGGGAAAAGTCGTGGACCTAGGCTCGCATGAGGTAGATGATTTCGTAATTGAATAGTCTATAGGTTTTAGATTGAAATACGTGCTTGTCAATGACTCGTCCCTTGTTACGAAAAGTTATTGGGATTGGGATAATTGGCCAGTATTGTATGCCCGAGCTTGTTCGTCTATGTTCAATCCCTTGTTACGAAGAGTTATTGGGAACGAACCTCTAGATGCTTAAGTAAGAGTGTCAATCTCGAACCAAACGATTAATTGCCCGGCTTTGCTAGAGCTTGAGTTAATTATCCCCGATTCCCTAGTTTCTCCATTTTTTTTCGTTTATATTTTAGGTAGATTATTATTTTATTTTATTTCTTAGTTAATAATTCATCAAAACTGCTATCTGATTAGAGTGTTTAGGATTTATTTTCGTTTTGTGTGTTAACGATACCAAAGCTAAATTCCGAACAACCTTCCTCGAGAGATCGACCCGGGAAACGAATCCTTGATTCGGTACTCGGTAAAATATAACAAATTGTACACAACAGCATGTTTGTTTATGGATTTTTTTTCAAAAAAATTTCAACATTTTAACTCAACCATTTTTTTAAATTCAACCTCACTATCATCAATATTATCAATATAATTAAATAATTTCAATCAATCATTCATACACACCACATTTGTAACGCCAAGAATATTAATTACTGTTTATGGAGCTCGACTTTATTTCCATAAATAACCAGTTTCCTTATTTAGTGCATTTAATTATTTTTATTTGCATTAAATCGAGTAATTAGCAATAAATCTAAGTCATGGAGAATTTATTAGATTTTTAATTATTAAAATCGGATTTATTTAGCCCAAGTATCGGTTCTATTTTAAAACCGAGCCTTGGAATGATCGAAAATTCTATTATAGTGGACCGAAGCCGAATAATTAATTTATTTGAGCCTAATAATTTTCGAACGAGTCCAATCATTTTAGCAGGTCCATTTTAGTACATTGAGCCCCATGTTCGATTTAATTTCAGTCCATTTTAAAAATCGAGCCTATAGTCGATTTTTAAATCTGAGCCCTTTTTATTTTAGTAAGTTGACCGACTAATTTAATTAATCCAAGTCCGATTAATTTTATTAAACAAACATTTAATTCCTTAGTCAATATTTGATTTAATTAGGCCCAAATCGAATTACCTTACTAGCCCGACTGTAGGAAGTTTTGTAGGCCCGATTATTTGAGCCCAATAAGACTACAAAACCCTAGTCTCCCTCTTGTGTGTAAATAGCACACATATCCAATCCTCATTTCACACCAAACCCTAACCATCACTCTACTATTCATCATCTCCATTCACCATAACCACCACCATCAAGCTCATTCATCACCATCTTCATCATTTCCGATCGTCGTTCCCGTTCTCCAATCACCGTCCGACGACTTCTCCGGCCGGCGAGCTCATCCGCGCCTCGCCAGCTCGAGCCTCGCACACGTGACCGACGAGCCACCGTCCCGAGCCCGCTACTGCCCCCGCCGACGAACCACCGCACCATATCGGTTCAGTCCCGTCGCAACCTCGGTTCGAGCTCATCCCGTACGACGCGACCCAGGCCCAAACCACCGCATAGCTCCCCCACACAACGAACTAGCCGCTGCTCACTCGAACCGCCGCGACTCGCCGGAAAATTGCTAGCCCAGCCTCGCCGGAAAATCGCGACCAACAGCGAGCCCCACGCGACCAGATCCCTCCACGCGCGCCAAAACCGACCCAACGACCCGGTTACGCGCGACCAGCTCCAACTCGCCCAGACCCGCAACTTAGTGAGTCAACTCTCAACTCGACTGGTTCAGACCCAGTAAACTCGGACCGAGTTGAACCGCTCCGGCTCTGACTCGCCCTGCCCCATATCCACTCAGATTCGACCCGGTTGGATAGCCCTGACCCGGTTTCACTTCACCGACCCATTTCACTACCCCCGATCCACTTCTGATTTATCCGATTCGAGCCGATTTAAGGTAAAATGGCTTGAACTCTTCTCCATGAGCTTAGATGTGCTTAATACGAGGATATAAAAATGATGAATTGGTGATTCGAGCGATTTTGGATTAAAAGAGATTTTACGAGCTTAAGGGTGATTTTTCGAGCTTTTGATATATATGCGATAAATGGTGAAAAAAATTTTATAAAATTCGTTGTATTGTCTTGAGGCTTAGGATGCGGGTCGGGAAATTTTTAGAGTTCTTTTGATAGACTAATGAGATTTTTGAAGTTGACCATTCCATGCGTTTCTTAGTTGAATGGGTTAGGAGTTGAATTGAGTTGCTATATTTTGACCATAGACTACGTATATGTAGGGGAGGTTATGTTTTAAATTGCGTGGATTTTGGATGCCGTTTGACTTAGATTAAAAATCAGGACTTTAGCCGAAAAATACAAAAATAGAGAATATTAGCCGGATATGATTTTAGTTGCATTTGTTGATTATAAAATCGATATAAATCACATAAAAATTATGTCTTCAATATCAGCCTTAAATGTGTTAGGATTTTTCGAGAATCAGAAACCCTAGTTTTATCCGATTCCGATAACCAGATAATTTTCAAATCTGAGTTTAATCATTCGAACACTAGTACCGTTTAAACCACTTTAGACTTCATAAGATTATAAATGAGTCCTGGGGTGTCGGGATGTGGTCGGTCGGTCGTTAGTTGCCGACGGGTCCATAACCGAGCCTAAGAAGGCTATCGAGGCCGTGTGCCTCGTAGCGAGCGGAATTTTCCAACCGACGTGTATCAACACGTATCTTTAACGCGTTTCGACGACCCGCACACGTGTTTAACCCTCGTCTGACTATTGGAGTCGAACCACTGAGTGCGTGCCCATGCATCGAGTCCGAATCAAACCACCGAGTGCGTGCCCGTGCATCGAGTCCGTCCGATCTACCGTTGATGCGCCGTTTTCGTTAGCTGTGGTCCAAGCACGCCCCTGCGTCAGTGACTGTGGCACAGTTTCAAACTCGTGTTTCGGCAAAGTTGTATCAGCCGTGTTCGTGCGTGCCCGTGAGTTGCACTTGAAGAACTGAAAATGCGTGCAGTGGCCTTGAAAATATTGGGGAAATATTTCAGGTAAGTTCTATTTAAATTTTTTTAAAACACAACATTAAGATTTTAATCAACCTCCATAACAAGAAACTATACAAAAGATCATCTTTTTGTAATTAGAATAAGAAAAACACGCAAAATGTTGGGACATAAAAGAGGCTCGATGCAGACGATAGCTGTTCAAAAAGTTTTGATGAGAACTTGGAAATGATGCGCCTGAAAATGTAAAAAAAGTGATGTGGCTGCCGAAATTGGAAATGAACTCCACTGACAATGAAGTTGTGACAATGAAGTTGCTTGGACATCTTCCTTTCATCTGGTTGAGTTCTTAGTAAGAGCAAGTAAAGGGTGATTAAATATATTTCATACCAAATAAAAGATTAGAGTAATTATATTAAAGATTTGAAAGATAATGATTGCTTTTATTTCCATCACCACCTTCATTTGCATATATTGAACTTTTTTTTAACGAAACGATAACTGATCATTAACAAGAAACAAGTGCACAAAAGAAATTACAAAAAAGAAATCTCACAATCCACACTGGACTTATAAAGCCAGGGGATAAGAAGAAGAAAACAACACAAAACCCAAACTCTACAAACCAAGGCCAAATTAACCACATATATCAAACCAAGACAAACAAAAGTTCTTCTCATATCTTCTGCACATATAAAGACTAACCAAATAATAAACCACGAAAACAAAAAAGCAAAAAGAGACTAAACTAGACCTTTCAAAATCTTAAAACTCCCGGCAAGAGAAAAACATCACAGCCCTCCTAACTCTTCAACCCTGTATGCCAAATTGTAAAAAACAATAAGATAAAAAAGTTCATCGTATAGTAAAGATTATGATATTAATTAGTTGAGTATGAATTCATAAGCATATTAAAATTTTCCTTTCGTGTTTCCTTTCTTTCAAAATCTCCTGCAGCTCTGTTTTTTTCCTTATCATCCATTCTATCAAGATTCGGATAACTCGCCTAATTGCGACGATATAGTCTGTCGATGGTGAAAAATTCTCCAAGTCGGCAAACTACAAAATAATACAAAACAAATCACAACAGAATTATAAAATACATACACATATATCACATCTTTCATAAATAACCATAATACACGCACACATGTATATCACAACCTTTTAAAAACAACCATAATATACACACACATATATCACTCCTTTTAAGGCACAGGGCAAAACCCACGGTCAAAAGGCAAGCATTCACTCCATGATAGAGTTGATTTGAACTTACAAACATGTGCAAGAAGCTCTAATAGCCAACTCATGAGCTCTCTACGGCATTTTAGAATCTTCCTCTTGTCGAGCGAATCCAAAAGTCATGTAGGCCGTTCACGAAAGAACACCTACGATAAACAAATTATACTTATTATTTACTGAAAAAATATTCTTATTCATAGGCATGCATTCTTAATTTATAGTGTTTTCTTAATTTATAGTGTTTTTCTTTTATGAGATTTATCTTGATTAATTCTGCGAGTATATGAGAATTGACATGTTTGGGTACAATCCCTTCATTCAATTGTTCACGGATAAAAGCCTCATTAGGAATATATACACTCGACATCGACATAAAGATAAATTTATCCTGTAAATTATTCATATATTGGAAATTACTAATACGATTTAAGCATAATAATTATGAATAATTTACAGGATAAGTTTATTTTTCTGTCGATGTCGAATGTATATATTCCTGATGAGGATTTTATCTGTGAGGGATTAGGCCCAAACATGTCGATTCTCGTACACTCGCAGAATTTATCAAGGTAAATCTCGTAAAAGAAAGACACTCTATAAAGTAGAAATGAATGCCTATGAATAAGGATATTCTTTTAATAAATAACAAGTATAATATGTTTATTGTAGGCGTTCTTTCGCGAACGACCTATAGGACTTTTGGATTCGCTCTTGTCGAGCAAGATTCTACAATATCGTACAGAGAAGGATTGGTGTAGACTTGTTGCGCTTCTCCCCTCTGTGTAGGCCACGCTCCTGAGTTGGCTTCTAGAACTTCTTGCGCACGTTTGTGAGTTCAAATCAACAAATAAAGTGAATGCTCGTCTTTTGGCCATTAGTTTTGCCCTGTGCCTTACAAAGGTGTGTTATATGTGTATGTATATTATGGTTGTTTTAGAAGGTTGTGATATATGTGTGTATTATGGTTGTTTATGGAAGGTGTGATATATGTGTGTATTTTATAATTCTGTTGTGATTTATTTTGTAGTTTGGAAATTTCCCACCGTCGATAAACTATATCGTCACAGTTATGCGAGTTGTCTGAGTCTTGATAGAATGAAGGATAAGGAAAAGAGCGGAGTTTCAGCAAATTTTGAAGGGAAGGAAACAGGAAAGGGAACTTTCGAGAGTGACACATGGTTGATATGCCTATGAATTCATATTCAACTAATTTATATCCTAATCTTTACTATATATGATGAACTTTTTGTCTCATTGTTTTTTACACTTTGGCATACAAGGTTGAAGAGTTAGGAGGACTGGTGTTTTTCTTTTGTCGGGAGTTTTATGGTTTTGGAAGGCCTAGTTTAGTTTTTTGTTTTGGTGGTCTGTTCTTTGGTTAGTTTTTATGTGCAGAAGATATGTGTTGAAGAGCTTCTGTTTGTTTTGTTTTGATATCTTTGGTTAGTTTGCCATTGGTTGGTAGAGTTTGGGTTTTGTGTTGTTTTGTTTTTCTAATCCACTGGCTTTAAGTCTAGTGTGGATTGTGGGGTTTCTGTTTTGTAATTCCTTTTGTGCACTTGTTTGTTGTTAATGATCAGTTATTGTTTCGTTAAAAAAAAGTTTAATATGTGCAAATGGAGGTGGTGATTGAGATGAAGTTCTTTCAGATCTTTAACTAGTGTAGAGTTATCGCACGAGGTACACAATTTTAAGGATATTTATCCCGACTTATAATTATATACATGAATAAAGAAAAAAATAATGGATATATATAGTACGTGACCCGTGCGAGGCACGGAATATATTTATTTGGGGAATATTATATTATAAGATGCAATATTAAATAAAAGTTTTATAAGACGATGGCACAATATTTTAAAATTCATAATTTATAATTGTTAGAGTATAATCAATATCTGTTAATTTTTAAGAAAAAATCTTGATATATAGAAATCGCATTATATGTAGAGGAACAAATCAGATCAAATTTTTCATACAATTAGAAAAGATTTTTTTGTACAAAGATAAGAAAGAATTTTTAAATCAATACATCTAAAACAAAGAATTTTAAATCTACACAAACTATAAATATTAGATGTATTGATTTACGTAAATCAATATCTATAGACAGTCAAATCCTTCAATTTAGGCTTGACATTTGATTTATTTCTGGTAAAATCAATATTTTATCTTCCGATCAAATTTGCTTTTTTTTTTTTGTTATACGTACATTTTTTTTGTACCGATTTTATGGGAAAAAACAATTAAAAAAATTAATTGATGGAAATAGAATGCATTAATTACCTTTTACTTTTCTTCCTACTAATTCTAGTAAATGAGATGACTCTCTATATAAGTATAAATGTCTAAACAATTTGTTTAAAATATCTAAAATATTATAAGCCTAATTTAATAAAGACATTCAGATGATATTGAATTTATGACGTTACTCCCATCTAACAAAATTTGATTACACACAATTTCAAAATTATTATTATAATTTTTACGTTGTTATGGAGGATGTATTGTTAATTTATAATATTTGTAAAAACATTAGTAAGTAGACCGATAAGAATCCAAGATGTAATAAATTTGTACACGTGGATATCTAAACTTTTATCAGATTGTGTTGAAAAAAAAAATCAAATTTAGATGTAACCTGAAAATCAAGAAAAAGAAAAATAAAAGTTGACTGAAACACGTCGCTGTTTATACAAATAAGGATCCGATTTTTTTGCCTTTTAAGAATTTTCAAACAATTGCCACATTAGGATATATTTAATGATTATTGCGGGAAAATCTTTCTAAATTTGTAAAAAAGTTATTCTTTTTATATAATGATAGATATAATATAATTATTCTAAACGTTTTATTTGGTAGGAAATGTATTTACTCAACCTTTATCTGTTAGACAGGATTAGGGTTTTGTAAGAGTCTATTTATTGACTTATTTTTCATTGTAGAGAATTGGTTCTAAGAAATAAATATGTATTCATGAGCTTTTTTTTCCCCCTTGTTATCATGCACTGTCACTACGTCACCATGTCATGTCCACTACATGATAACAATATATGAATTTGGATTTTACATCATATATATGCTTATCTAATAAATGGCCTCCAAAAACTTATCAAATCAATTTGAGGCTTATTAAAAACTAGTTGTAACCCCTGCATTTGCACGGAAAGCTATATGATAAAGAAAAAAAAATAATAAATATAAACAATAGTAAAAATCATATCAATCATTGGAGAAAATGTTTTAAGAAATAAAATTTAAATATTATTATAACACTTCTTTATATCCAATATTCGTGGTTTTCTTATCGTCAGAATTTTCATCACCATGTATTATTATTTTCAAACCCTTCCGACTCATAAATCTCAAAAGCGCCATGTATAATTTGTCCATGGCTAAATACATCACTCTGCAGTAATAAGTCGATCTGCGATAGAGACTATCCTTGACTCTTATTGATTGTCGTAACATAGAAAACAATGAGCGGGAACTTCCTGCGATGAAACTTGAAAGGTACCATCAAATCGGATGGTATGATTGTAAGTCTAGGAATAAGAACTTTATCACCAGCTCAGACACCGGTTAATATTCTGCATTTAAGGACATGGCTGCTAAGCTTAGTAATAACCAATCGAGTACCTGTCGATCTCAAAATTCGGACAACAAAAACATATCTTCGAATTTGTACACGGATCATAGAAAATATAAATGATAGATAGAATTTTGATCAACAGTATCGTTGCACAACCCATAGATTCTAGAATTTTGAAAGAAGGGAACATTTTTATACCTTCTTAAGTTTAGTTTGAAGTGAAAAGGATTAAAACAAAGACTGCTTTTGGTTGTATATTCTTTATAAATTGAATCAAAATGTATACTTTTCGAAGAATTATATATGTGTAACGCCCCGTTCGATTTGTAGAATTTCTCGGAATATTCTATTTATCGAATACTACTTATAAGATTATGTTTATTTCAACAGTCGCGATGTCGACTTAAATAAAATGTTGAAGTACTCGATCGTTTCGAAGAAAAATGCTCGTTGTTCGGCGATTTCGGTTTAATCGTGTGGATCGAATATAATCCGTTTGAATTATGGACTTTTCCGAGTTATTTATCGTATTTTATATTTTGTTTCAGTAATTGCTTGGCATTTTCCGTTTAGACTTATTATTATTTAATTAGATATTGTCTAATTAATATAATAAGTCGTATAATTCTATTTATGTTTCGTTGTAAGTCGAATCGATCGGGAATCCTTGTTATCGCGTTATTCTTCTATTGGCCAATTTATCGGGAATAATTTCGGTCCTTTCAGATAATTTTGTTTAGGCCCAATATTTTCGACTTTTATGTGCTATTAAATTTCAGCCCTTTTTAATTTATTTCCAGTCCAATTGTAAGGTCTTTATTTGGCCCACACTAATTATTTATAATTAACCCATTGCTTTTTATTAATTTTGGACCCAACTCTTTCAATAATGCCTTGGCCAAATGTGTTCATTTTTTTGTCTTGGCCCACATGAAGAAAGATCCAGCAGCTTCAAAATTTCTCTTTCCCAAGCGACCGAGTTTGCCTAACAATTCAGATACTGCGATTCTTTCGCAAATTTTCAATCGCACGTTCCTCTCTCGACCATTATATCTCGGCCATTTGTTGCTCATAGTCAATCAAAGGAAAATCAGATTCTTCTTCCTCGTTTGGTCGGTCCCAATATCCCAGTTGAAAGAGGCTCTCAGAGTCCACCTTCAAAATTTTGTTTTCCTTTCTGAAAAAAAAAATGAAAAAACCTGTCATTTCTGTCTGTAAAAATCTTAAGTTTGAAGATAGATGGTTTCACTCTGACCCTGTAGGTAGAAAGGGTGGGATGCTTCTTTTTTGGTCTTTGAATGTTGAAATTCTGGATTTAGTGTGTCTTGAAATATGTCTTCAAGATAAATATCAGTTCAAAAATGATAAAAAAGTCCATTGCGCTATTTTTGTTTATGCTAGCATTGACTCTTCGATTAGACAGTTTCAATGGAAAACCCTTCTCAGCCACAACAGTGGCTGGGGTGATTTTTGGTTTGTTGCAGGAGATTTCAACGCAATCCTATCTAACTAAGAAAAACATGGGGGTAGAATGAGAGAGGATTTTAGTTTTCTAGGTTTTAGAAACCTAGTGCAAAGGTTGCAACTGATTGAGGTCACCTCTGTGGGGCACCCATACACCTGGTGCAACAATAGGCAAGGAAGTGAGTTTATTGAGGCTAAGTTGGATAGTCTTTTTTTCTCCTTTTTAGAGTCTGAATTATCAAAATGCCCAAGTTAAGCATGAGTTTCTCTTATCATCCGACCATTGTATGCTAGTTTTGGAGATGGATTTTACTTTGAACCATAAATCTCACAGATTCTACTTTGGCTCTAGATGGTGTAAGAAGAAAGGGTATTTTGAGGTTGTAGACATATGGTGGAACATGTCAGTAGATGGCCATGCATTGCACAACATTAAAAAGAAATTTGCAAATGTTAGGAAAGGCATTCTAAATTTGAACAAGGAGAACAAGTTTAACTCCAGAAAACAAGTGGAGGAATTGAAGGATAAATTAAATAAGCTGAACCAGGAGAGGGTGACAGAAACTGGGGGAATGGACTGAGTGTAGAATGCATCTTCATAAAGCCTATAGGGACGAGGAGTTGTACTGGAAAATGAAATCTAGGGTCCAATGGCTCAGAGAGGGAGATAACACCAAATACTTTCAAGCATGTTGTAATGCCCCGTTTGATTATTGAATAATTGAGAATTATTTATTATTTATTTATTATTATTATTATTATTATTATTATTATTATTTTTATTCTTTATTTGTTGTTATTATTATTTTGTTGAATGCTAAAATTATTTAAATGCCTAAAATGATTTATGTGTCAAATTGTAATTAATTTTCTAATTGTCTAAGTGTTATTATTTAATTAAAATGTGTATTGTATTTTTACTAATATTATTATTATTGTTTGAAATAATTGTCTATATGGTATTATTGCTCGACATTTTTCGTTTGGACTTATTAATATTTAATTAGATATGGTCTAATTGATATAATAAGTAGTATAATTTTTAATTGTTATTCGTCGTCAATCGAATCGATCGGAAATTCTCGTTATCACGTATATTTTATTTTTCGAGCTAAAGCGATTTATTTTCTAGCCTTTATGATTAAACTTCTGGCCCAATTGAGTTGTTTAATGCCATCCTTTTTATTTAATTCCAGCCCAATATTATGTTTTGGCCTTTTTGAGTTATTTTCGAGCCCACTAAAAACTGGCCTATATTAGTTATTGGAATTATTTTTCTTGGCCCATTCTCTTTTCCTGCACGTGCAAAACAGATATTTTCCTCGCTCTGTATGACCGAGTCCGTCACTTCAAATTTGTTGCGCTTATTTCTCGCAAAAATCGATCCTCTCTCATGTTTATAACGGGTCAAGCGAGAGACATATTCTCACCTTCTTCACTGTTTAGCAATTCATACCTTTTCTCCCATCTTCTCTCCTTCTCGCAGCAACCTCTGCGATATAAAAAAAAAAAAAAGATTTGGTGTGCCTGTTTCCGGCGAACCACCCTTCTCCGGCAACCTGTTCGTCGCCGTCCGTCGTTGAGGGTAGCGTCTTTCTCTGTCTGCGAGCAGCCATCTCGGAGCAGTTCATCGAGCTTTTGAGGTCCCGTTTCGTCCACAACCTGTCCACCATTGTTTCCGGCGAGAGCTCCGTTCTCCGGCGTCACCCCTTGCCGTTGTCGACGTCCTCGCAGCAGAGCCGTCATTCTGTCGAGAACCAGCGGTTGCGGTCCCCGAGTTCGAAGGTTTTGAGTTTCGAGGCCCGTTCGTGTGTTTCGTTTTTCCAATAGCCCGAAATTCCCGAAGAAAGGTATATTTCGATCAATACCTTCTCGTTTAGTGATGTTCGGGTTTGATATCGTTCGATTATTTCGTGACACGAGTGTCTTTGGTTGAGGTCGATATATATTTATCTCGAGTTGTTTGTCGGATTAAGATTTATGAACCTCATTGTGGAATTATGGGACTCTCGTTCGTAAAATTTAGCTCGTTTGTTGTCGTGATCATTTTCGTTTGAATTCGGAGTCTCGTTCTATTGTTTTGAGCATTTTCGAGTCGTATGTTGCCATTTCGTTTTCGAGCCCAAAAACCGATTTTATAAACTCTAGATGTTCGGAAAAATTTGTATTTTCAAAAAACTTAATTACTTCTCGAAACCCGGTTGCCGTTGGATATGTCATCGTCGAGTTCGGTCAACTTTTGGTTCGGCTCTGTTCAAAATCTCCCGACCTCTGTTTTCTGTTCGCAGGTGTATATTTTCTTTCTGTTAAATCGCAGGCTTTTTTCATTTAATTTACAAGCCACGTTATCTTTTAAAGTCGCAACAAGGCGTGTGGTGTAGTGGTTCCCTATGCTCTATTTCTTGTGTGAGGTCCCGTGTTCGAATTGCGAGTCCAGCAGCCCCTCTTTCTTTTTTTTTTCTCGCCCAACAGTTGGAGCAGCACAGCGTGGGCCGCCCCAGCCCGCGCACGGCCCGTTTACTGTCAGCCTACTCCGGCCTGCGAGCCCGGTTTCCTGCCCGCGAATGGCCCGATGGCCTAGCAGCGTCTCCAGTCAAGTGGCAGGCCCAATTATGCATATTTTTTCGGCCCAATTCGTATATGTGAGCCCATTTTCGCGGCAGTTTAATTCCAGCGCGGCCTAGCTCGTCTTTTTTGCCCTTTTTGAGTTCCGGAAGCCCGTTTTTACTATCGATTTCGATTTTAAAAATATTTTCAAAGCGAGAAAATTTTGGAAAAATTATTTTAAATCCCGAGACTCTATGTTTGGTCCCCGTGTCTTTTCTTTTAAAAATGTGAGAGTTCCAAGTCCACGATAAAATCCGATAAAAATCCCTTAATCACTATTTTTGATTAAATGTGAATTATATGTTAATGTCGAGTAGTGAGATAAATTATTGATTAAAATCTCACTTAAATGTAGGTGTTTGAGGAGTCGAGCCCTCGACCTACCGACCTATTTGTGTGCATTTCCTACCTCGATTACCAGGTGAGTTTTATTTAAAAATTGTCTATGCAGTAAATTAATTATCGTACTTGAATATGATCAATGCGTGCTTACAAATCATGTAGCCTTCGATGTGAGCTGTACCGGCCGTCGAACGGTTGTCCCGTATATATGAAAACAAACCCGAGGGGTTACTCCTACTGACCGGGCATCGATGGAAGCCCGTGGGGCGATTCGATGTGTAGGACCGGAGGGCATAGATGTAGAGCCCATGGGGCATTCGAAGCATGACCCGAGCGAGGGCCTTCGATACATCTACCGACAGTAGTCTATTGGTATAGATGTGCACATGAGTCTGAACACTGTGGATTTACGATGAAACTTGGGATACTTAAATTGATTCATATACATGCTGTGATCGTACTATCTCTGTTACTGTTTTGATATGTAAATGTTTATCGCATAGTGGTGAGCATTACGATTTCCAATTGTGCTCATCCCCACATGAAATTAACGTTTCAGGTTAAGTAAGGCGGGTACGATGGCGGAGTAGAGTGAGTGGTAGTCGGTCTATGAGACCGGTCATTAAATGATTTTGCTTTTGCTATATTTATGACTATTTACGATTTACGTAATTTCGAACTTGAGAATTTATGAAGTATTGAGATATTGTCATGTCTTAAACACTCGAGTTTGATTTTGGGAACCCGTTTGGGAAAAATTATGATTTATGAATTTATAAATTTATGGATCCCGGTTTGGGAGTTAGATTATTTATGTTA